GCTGCTGTTTAATTTGAAGACGGAACAGGGCAGAGACCCTGTTGATCTAAACACAAAGACCAAAAAAATCACTAGTACTTTGAACTGAAATGGAATGAATCGTATAGCAGCGACGGGGATGCTGCACGCCCAGAGTGCGGGCACCTGGCTCGGCGACGCGGTGGCCGGTCGGAGCCACGGCAGGGAGGCGCTGAGGGTTGGTCCCCAGTCGGTCTCCGCTATGGCAAGTCTCCTACTGATATGATAGGCGCCGACGACTCGGTCCCACACGAGTCAGCCCAAATTTCTAAGCATGATTATTATCATCTCAAAAAAAGTACTACTACTTAGTTTTATTATCAAAACCAGAGTATTAATAGGTAGTACATCATGAAATGAAATATACACAGCATGTTTTATTTCAGATGTTGATATTATTCGTATAAATTTAGTCAAAGTTAAAAGAAAATTGGCTTGAACACAGTCCAAAATAATACTATATATATGATTTATTGACGGAGGGAGTACTCAGGCATGTAGGAATGCAGGATTGTGAATTCTTAGGATTCTCGGCCAACATTTACTATTACTCATAGATTTAAAATAAAAACCGGACAGGACATCGAATCAGTGTGTTGAGTATATTGATTATTAGGAAAGACTAGATAGACTAGGGTTAGTTCTGGCTTGTCTTGTACTCCAAGTAGATCATTGTACTCCTATATATATGCTCACGAGGCTCAAGCAATACAACAAACTATTTCACCAAACTTCTCTCTCCCTTCTAACATGGTATCAGTGTCCAGGTTCTAAACCCTAGCCGCCGCCGCTTCCGCACCCGCGCACCGCCCCTGGGGTGGTCGGCCTCCATGACAGCCGCCGGGGGCCGCGCCGCCCGTACCTAGGGTTCGTCCGCCGGCCGTGTTGGCCGGCTGCCCTAGAGAGTCTTTTTCTCGATCCTTTGATCCGGATTTTTCTCTCTTTCGTCGGTCGCTTTGATCGGCGTCTACTTTTTGGTTTTCCGAACTATTCTTGATCGGTTTGCGTCGCCCACCGCCGCCGTCGATCCCGAGCACCTCTACTCCGACCACGGCGCGACCAGCCGGCCTCTCCTCCGACCACGGCGCGACCAGCCGGCCTCTCCTCCGACCCGGCGACCACGCGCGCCGAGGCGGCCCGTCAGGGCCAGCCGCCGTCTGCGCGTCGGTCCGCCCGTTGCCCTGCGCCGGCCGTCACCGCCCTGCTCCGACCGGGACTCCTGCATCACCCGACCCGGCGGCCTCGCGCCATGCGGCGGCCAATCATAGCCGCCCTGCCACCCGCCGTCGCCGGCTTCATCTCGGACTCCGCCGCTACCACGCCTCCACCGAGCGGCGTCACTGACCTCGTGCGCGATCGGCTTGATCATCCGCTCGCCGCCGCGATCCGCCTCATCTACGCCACGCGACCGACCTGGCCCGTCAGTTACGCGCGCCTCCGCAGGTCCCGTGAAGATCGTCTCCGAGTTCAGCGCGCCCCTCCGCCGATCGAGCAACGGGCTGCCGCTGCGTCGCCCCGTCGGGCCGCAGCGCCGCCGCCTCGTGGTTCTTCTCCCGGCTGCACCGACCCGCATCACCGCTGCATTGCCCCTTCGGGCCATAGTGCTGCGGCCCGCGGTCTACCGCCGCCCCGAGGCCGTCCGCTCCAGGCCGTCCCCGTGGCTGCACCGATCCTCGCGCCGCCGCTGCGTCGCCCCGTCGGGCCGTAGCGAGCGTGGCACGCGGTCCACGCCGCCGTCTCGAGGCCGTCCACGCGGTTGCACCACCCCGCGCTCCGCCGCCCCTTCGGGCTGTAGCACCGCGGCCCGCGGTCCCTGTGACCGTCCCGAGGTCTTCCGTCGTCGCCCCGACTTGCCCGCCGCCGCTGCGTCGCCCCTTCGGGCCGTAGCGCCGCGGCCCGCGGTCCACCGCCGTCCCCGCGCGTCGAGTTCCTATGGCATGCGCGGCACCACCTCCTTTGGTGCGGGAACGCCACCGTCCGCGCCGGTCTTCGTCATGCTGTCAGGGTTCTTCGCCTACTTCGAGCATTGCTGCCGCGCTCATAACCTAACCGCCGCCGCCGCCGTCGCCGCTCTTCTTCGGCCGCCGCCGCCGCTACCCCCGTAGCCGCCGCCGCCCGTCCACCCCGTTCGTCTTCATCCAGCACCAGCCCGTCGCCAGCGTCGCCGTCATCTACCCCGGCCGCTTCATCTACTCCGACAACTGCGGGCGATATTGGCCCCGCGCCGATGGGCGCCGCAACCGTCGTCGAGTCCTTCTCTGCTGGCCTCTCCGACTTCTTCGACATAGCGTACAGCTTGTGCAGGTCCCAGTCTATGCATGCCAGGTGATGGCAACACCGGCGCGTGCCTTCGTCTACGATGTGTCCCCGGGGATGGCAACCCTGGCGCGATGCGTCGTCAACATCATCTCCTTCTTGGCGCACCACTACTTCGACACCACTGCGCCCACGACTAACTCGGCGCCTCCTTGCGCCCGCAGCTCCACGACGACTTTCTCGACACCGGCTACCCCGACTCGACATCGACCACGGCATTCTTCGCACGGCTACCTCGACCACGGCTCCACCACCCACGCTCTCGGCTACATCGACAAACGGCACAAAGGGCTACCGCCTGCTTGAGCAACCTCGTCGGTTTTCCCTCCAGCCACAACTCCGCGATGCATCGACCGTTACGACTGTGGGGGGGTGTCCGTCGGCTTGCCTTCGGATTCTTCTCCAGTCTCACCGTCTGCGTCGCTCCCGTTGTGACTGCGGGGGGATGTTGAGTATATTGATTATTAGGAAAGACTAGATAGACTATGATTAGTTCTGGCTTGTCTTGTACTCCAAGTAAATCATTGTACTCCTATATATATGCCCACGAGGCTCAAGCAATACAACAAACTATTCCACCAAACCTTTCTCTCCCTTCTAACACAGTGAGCGTGTCAATTCATGTTTTCATTATCGAAGCAAAATTAAAGGGGATCTGATGAAGTCATATACCTGGGGTAGGGTCATAGACCTGCCCAAAGGTACCCTCCACAAGGACACTCACAAGAGAAGTAGCCTTCCAGTCGACCTGGTAGGTTTCCACTCGACAGATTCAAAGACACTCGACCATGAAGACCCACTCGACCACCAGGAGTCCAAGAGCCACTCGACAGATTCAAACCTCTCTCTCCCTTTCATCGTCACACACATGCTCGACCAGGGTACTCTTTCCAACTTTCCCAGGACCGATGATCGGCAGGACAGCATGATGACCGGCAGCACCGGGAGCAGTCTCCGCTTGCAGCAGGAAGTTCATAATATGTTCCATCTCCATCTGGCGTCCGAACATGCACTTGTTCAGGAGCAGATACATGTTGTACGGTTGGCGGGTCAAACGCGGGCATCTATTTAGAAACATGATGAACTCACCCACATCTTCAATGTTGTTCCTTATGCTGCCAAGAACTTGCTCCAGCAGCTCGGTTTGTGCTGCACCTTCACTGTTACCCCTGCAGAAAATATACACGCTTTGCAGGGTTGAACATAGATGGAGCAAAAGAGTAGTTGACTTGATGATCTTTTGTCTTTCCTTCTCCATGAGCTCGGCAACTGAAGATGTCGAGGGTGTAATATCCTCTGTACATCTCCTTTTTCAGTATGCTGAGTTGCTGCAGCATGGCCTGGTTTGTGATGAGCCGGTCATCTGCCTCCTCAACGATGACATGAAGCCGCAGTAGGAGCCGTTGCAGGTTGTGCAGCCTCTCCTCCTCAGTTTGTCAGCAAACTGCTTGCTTCCTCTATTGGACTCTCCAGTGTTCCAACATCAACCTGTGTTGGCTGCTACCAGAATTGAGTAATACAAGAACTAACGTGGCTGCTGTGTACGCTGAAGAGATGGTTTGCCTTTATGCCCCGAGAAGTGGACGTGTTGATGGAGAGAAAAGTGACTTGGTTTTTAATGACAACAATGCTTCTCCTTTGCAGATTATCTTCCGTCGTACGCACTCGCTTCATATGTGGTCTATGCTACAACGTGCGGAGTACCAACCGCTATTCAAGGTGGTGTGTATGCGGTTGGAGCAGGTGGCTACGGAGGTTTTTACCCAACATGGATGGCAGCATAATCTTTGGATCGGTCCACCAACCGTTTCGACATAGGCATAGTGTCGGTCTATAGGACTCTACTGTTGCCGAATTGTCGTTTTTTTCTTTCCTTTTTTATCAGATTTTTAGTGTTTGGCTGTGTGCATCATAGTTATATAGAGACCGGGTGATACTCCAAATGCTTTGTATCGGCTTGATGCTACATTTTAAGATAATAAAAGCGCCCTTTATCAAAAAAAAACTGGAGTTGGCCGCGAACACATCGAGCCCCGACGCGCCCTCTGGCACCATCGACGTCAGCTCCTTGATGCCAAGCCCCCATTTTCTCCTATGGTGGTTCAAGAGCTGCGGCTAGCAATATATGCTGCAGTAGTTTTTGATGTATGCCACACTGACACTGCTCTTCTATGCTCAGCCAGATCTAATTGGGCTTAAGCTGCTGTTTGAAGACGGAACAGGGCAGAGACCCTGTTGATCTGAACACAAAGACTAAAAGAATTACTAGTACTTTGAACTAGTACATTTGATTCTGAAATAGAATGAATCGTATGGTCCGCTGAAATTCAGATAGTACTGGATTGTGGGAAACTCACTGAAGCACCGCGGCGTGAGCGGCACGGCCGGCCCTCCGGCCGCGTGGCCGGCCGCGTGGTGTTCCAGGGCGGCTCTGACGGACGGTCCATTAAAGAGGTTGTCGGTGAATGAAAACCGAAGCTGAAATGGCGACAGACCAAGGTATAATTGCATTGGATCTGGACCATCGAATCTGCTCTGACGGACGGTCCATATCGACCGGATGCAGTGTAAAAGGACTCTTATTATATTATTACAAATCAATAAAAACATCTTTCGTGAGTAAATAAATAAACTACAAAGGTATAAGTCGCGTCACAAATATGATATTACTGAGAACGAAAGCCGTTCTTCAAGGTGGTGGAGAGGATCAGCACGACGGTGATGAACTCGGTGCCGCTGCTGAGCTGCCTTGCATGGGCTTCGTGGTTGCAGTGGCTTGCGGCGTAGCACAACATCTCCACCCACACCTGGGACATGACCAGCAAGACGTCCTGCGCCCCCATATGCTCGCACCTGGCCAGCAGTCTATTCGCAAGATGTACGGCCGGGCGGAGGACCCCGTAATCTTGGCTCATATCCGCCGCTCCTAGCAAATCCGAGATTCTTGGGAATTCCCTGTACGCCATGCAGAAGCTGTCGTACTTGCTGCGTCGAACAGGGCTTGGCAGCAAATGAGGCTGCTCCACAAGGAGGAACACCATGTATCTTGACAATACCCGGATTGCTTTAGCGAGGCCCTGTTGCCGTTCCTTGTCTTGGCTGCTCATGGCTTGGACCTGACGGTCCATGTAAATTGGTGCCCTGGCATGCAGCCGCTCAGCCAACGGCAGCGTGCAACATAAATCGAAAAAGTCGAGGAAGGCGTGTGTGGCGTAGCACCAGGCGAGTATTGTGCCGTCGAAACCAGCCTCTTCCGCGTCAAAACCGTCCTCTCCTTCAGCCCCAGTGGCACCAGTGTAGAATTGAGCACCGGCACCACCAGTAACCCATGCACCAACAGCCGCTCGGCTTCGACGCCACTGATCCAGGTTGCGCGAATCATAAGTTGTTCCACTAGCTTCCACCATGCGCTCTATCTCGCGCACCAACAAGTCATGCAGATCGAGTGAGATCACCAAGGGATGGAAGAACCTCAGCCTGTTCCACCGGTGCTCCAGCCCAACGAAAGACGCTATCGTGTATACTAGGCCGCTCTTACCATGCATGTGATATTCCAACAGGTCGTGCTGCCCGATGGAGCCTGACCACCTCCTGCATCTTTGAGCAGCCTTGACGCCCCTGCGAAGCCACACCAATGCCGCATGGAGCCGGTTCCATCCCGCGGCTTTTAGCCATGTGCATGTCCAAGTTGACAGAAATGCCCTTGACAGCGATGCCAGCTCCAGGAAAAAGGCCCCGGCCAACAGGATGTAGGTGACCGCCATGTCACCCTTGCTGTAACCGGCGCCAGCCATAGTGGACTGCCGGAAGAGGTAGAAAGCCACGATGGTGGAGACCGTGGAGAAGATGCGGGAAATGCATCCGTACGACGTCCTGTGGATCACCGCAGCCTTGGTGTAGAGGAGGTCACGCATCAGCGAGAGCTGCATCCCGATCAGCTGTGGCAGCATGCTCCGCCCGGCAGTGCGATCAGCATTGGCAGGATTGTGATACGCGTTTATGGCTCCATACCGGAACCCGGATGGTCTGACATTGTTGTCGACCAACTGGCCCATGCAGATGGGCAGAAGATCATGAGCTCCCTGCAAGACCTCTTCTTCATCTAAATTGGTTAAGAGTACCGGGTAACTGGCCTCCCCGCGGGGTACCTCAAAGTTGTCGAGGAAGTTGCTGATGTTGTCAAGGCCGGAGGACCTGAGAGCATATATCCTCTCACCGTACTTGATAACACCCACAAAGGACATCAAGACAGCTGCGGCGAGCAAGGTCCAGCTGCCTGCGGCGACGTACTTGTACAACACATAGGCTGCTCCGGCAGCCTGCACCACCAGAGTGAACAGATGGCGCAGCCAGAGGTTGTTGTCTTCTATGGCGTAGGCAGTGATGGTGTCCTGTCCGCCCAGGTGCACCAGCAGCAACGATGCCCAGAACGCCATGAGCTGCTGCTGCTGGCGTGGCTTGCTGCTTAAGGACATGTGGCCCAGCACGTATATCGCAACGTCATCGGCAAGCTGGTACAAAAGCCACAGGATACTATTCAGCGCCTGGACAGTCGTAGAGTCCGTGAGACACGACGACGCAACTCGGTGAAGGTAAGCAAAAGCACTTGCACCAGCAAGCTGGAAAGTAACAACATCTCCACTTCCCATCCTTCCCACAGCTTGTCCAATCCGCTGCTCATATTTGTTTCGGTTGCTGAAAACGAAATGAAAAACATCAACATATTTTTTCGATAAAGGGCGCTTTTATTATCTCAAAATGTAGCATCAAAGTGATACAAAGCATTAAGAGTATCACCCGGCCTCTGCATAACTAGGATGCACACAGCCAAACACCAGTAGTCTGATAAGTAGAAAGATAAAAGACCGACAATTCGGCAACAGTAGAGTCTATAGACCGACACTATGCCTATGTCGAAAGAGATGGTGGACCGAGCCGGAGATTATGCTGCCATCCATGTTGGGTAAAAACCTCCGTAGCCACCTGCTCCAACAGCGTACACACCGCCTTGAACAACGGTTGGTACTCCGCTCGTTGTAGCGTACACCACGTACGAAGCGAGTGCGTACAACGGAAAATAACCTGCAAAGGCAAAACAGTTTTGTCATTAAAAACAACATCATTTCTACATAGCCAAAGCGACCATAGTAAGGCATACGCTCCCACCCTTATTAGCGTTTTGTACCTATTTGAAATACCGTCCAGCCAATGACCAAAAATATTGGCAACACTTGTGGGTGGATACAAATTTGACGCTATTTGGATGGCTGACCACGTAGAACGCGCAAACTTACAGTGAAAAAAGAGGTGTTTAATTGTCTCGTCGTGAGTACAAAAACAACACTTCTTACTTCCCGACCAGTTGCGTCTTGCGAGGTTGTCTTTTGTTAGCACAACTCCCCTACGGAGATACCACATGAATATTTTGACTTTAAGTGGTACCTTCGCTTTCCAAATTATTTTGTTATTTCTCACCGGTACCTCAGAATGCGAGAGTGCACGATACATAGAGTCTACTGTGAAAGACCCCGATGTAGTAAGGTTCCAGCGAAACACATCACGACCTTGTGTCAGGATAATCGAATCCAGACGGGACAATAGATTATTCCATGACATAAGTCGGGTGCCAATCAAATCCCGCCTAAACGAAATATTTGGCGGGGATGAGCTGAGCACTTGCGCAATAGTATTATTCTTATCGCGTGCAATGTTGTATAGGGCTGGGTATTGTTCTCGGAGGCTAGCATTGCCTAGCCAGATGTCTTCCCAAAAACGAATCTCCGACCCGTCCTTTATCGCGAAAGACCCAAAGCGAAAGAGATGTTTCTTTGCCGCCATTAGGCCGGCCCAAAAGTGTGAGTCTCCAGTTTTCCAATATACCTGAGACACCGCCTTTTGGCCTATATACTCAACATATATTCGTTCGAAACCTCCAACAATGAAATAAAGTTATATGTCATTCTCCGAGCCGGTCAACATCTATATTTAACTCCATCGTCAGCGTGCATGCTATTTCAAACATCTAATCTCCATTGCGGAAAATAAATAAATATAATGATCAAATATCTAGTCTCTAAAGTAACTAATGGTAACATTTTTATTATAAAACACTTTGTGTCCTTCACTCCTCCTACGAGTACAGGTGAGCATTATTGGATTATTTCAGTTTTCTCGGTTTGCCTTCAAATGACATCCTGCTTCAGGTTGCTATACTTGATTTATATATAAAGAGAAAAATAGTGAATAATTATGTACTCCACAGAATTAATCACTTTTATTTTAATACATTTAAAATTAATACTTTCTCAGTGGGTTGGTTGCCTTGGTCTTAAACTATATTGCAAGCTACTTCTGAACTGCCCTCCATGTGTTACCACATGGAGTAAACAAGGAAAACACATCAGCTTTAGTAAGTTATACTGCCAAGGTCAGGTCGTGCTTTCATATAATTTCCAACCTAACACTTCAACTGAAAGCAATGACTTGGCCTTGGCCATTTATCGTCGAATCAACTCTTTAACTAAAGTTTTCCATGGGTTGTTTTCGTAGTTTTAAATAGTTGGCCCTGCCTCTTGGCGGAGGACCTCTTTAAATGCTATGGTGCCACTATATCACTCTATTTAAAACTTCACTTCATGTGTTAGGACCAAAGTCTCTTAGTGCAGAACCTCTCTAAACACTATAGCACGTTATTTAAAACAGTGGTTGGTGTTAGGTGGCTTGACACACATTTATGTAGGTGGGTTGTATGTAATGCCAGCATCTACGGATGAATTTCTAACTCGCTTTCATTTCTTTGGTGAGTAGTCCGAGATCTTTTCGATAACATGTCTTGTGTTCAAGGGATATCTGTATGATCTAATCTATTGCACAAGACCCGTTGTAGCAATAAAGAATGTGGAAAGTGGGTGATGATTCTGATATATTTTTAATTGAAAGAATTTTCCCTATCATTCAAACTTGGACTTTTTCCTCATTTTGACACTTCGATTTCTATATTAAGGATCAACCAGAAAGTTGGCCTAGTTTTAGTTTTTATTGACCCTAGATTATTACCCTTGATAAAAGATAAAATTCTACCCAATTAAGAACATGATAGATTTATGAAAAAGCAGGTCTGATTACACACATACCTAATCCTGAATACAATCTGAGGGCATAGGAATTTCGATATAAATAGAGTATCGTATGTCCATAGGCTCGAATGACCACTTCTCATAATAATAATATGCAGTCTGATCCGGTATCGAATGAATTTATAATCTGATAATCCGTAGCGCCGATTCCCATTTTGAAACAAATATTTTTTTACTAAAATGAACGGCCGCAACTGATGTTTGTTCAATCCGAAGGAAATTATGCCAAAGCTTTGCAAAATTATCATGAAGCTAAGCGGCTAAAAGTTGATCCCTACGGTCAAAATTATATACTCTAATGTAGGCCTTACACACACAAGCGATGGAGATCATATATAAACCAAGAAAATGAAGCAACACAAATCTCAACATGTGTGAGGTGAGCAACACGCAGATGTACTCTCTTATGGATTGGTGTTGCTAGAAAATAAAGATATTATTTGAAATCGACAATAGCAAAAGATGATACAGTCACTCTGACATACTGTACAAACAAAATAGATAATCAGGGGGAGCAGACAGAGAAGGAACAGTCTCCAGCTGCCGCTGGTTGGAGACATATGCGTACCGAGTATCCTTGGAGGAGCTGGAGACCGGTGGAGATGAGTTGGAAGATATTAGTGATCAGTCGAAGCTGGCATTCCAGGTGAGATGATGCCCAGGGTCTTAAATAGTGAGGAGCTACGAAGGATCACGCGCATTTGGAGCTATGACTAGTAATTAAAATACTGATCCACCCACTTTATATATCCCACCGTTTTCTCCGTCCATACAAGATGGTCCTTATTTAGTTTCGATGAGAAATATCACGGTTTGATGTAAACTATATATAAAATATAGGAGAGCCAGTCGAGAAGGAACCAAAACCCTACTGCCCAAACCCCTACGACAATGTTGTGGCAGCTATATTATTGTACCCACTTGATAATTAAATGCAAGCTAGGGCACTGCACGTGGAAAAGGAAATTGCCAGGATGGTGCCATGCAGATTGTCGCAGCCAGCTTAAATCACCTCAGGTTAGTAAAACCCTCCCATGGTCATGTGGTTTGCTTAGTTAGTACTCCCTCCGTCCGAAAATACTTGTCATCAAAATGAATAAAAGGGAATGTATCTAGATGTATTTTAGTTCTAGATACATCCCTCTTTGTTCATTTTGATGACAAGTATTTTCGGACAGAGGGAGTATTGTATATCCATTTCTTTAATGAAGTCCGGCCAAGCTCATACTCCCTCCGTCCGGAAATACTTTGTATCTAGACATATTTTAGTCCTATATACATCGACTTTTATCCATTTGTGCGACAAGTAATTCCGGAAGGAGGGAGTATATAGTTTCGTTCCATGGTCTGCCTCTGAACTAATTTAAGGACTTGCTTGGAGCTACTTTTCATGTATTCTAGGGTTTGCCCGTTGACTGTTGATAAGATCAATAGTATATGAGATGTATAATGAAAAAAATTATATCGTTGGAAACTCCTTTCATGTATAAATTTGAAACTATGCTTTGTGTAACTATATATATATATATATATATATATATATATATATATATATATATATATATATATATATATATATAGTTACACCTAAGATGTTGTCAAAATTATGGAGGGAGGGAGTAGCATTTTCTACTCTTTGCACCTAAGATGTTGTCAAAATTATTCTCGAAAAACGCATTAGACCCTACATATATTCCGCCTATGTTGACAGTTTTGTTTTTTGTATTCAGGTGATTAGTTAAAAATAGCGCAGCTTATGAGAGTTGTAAACTTCCAACGATATACTTGTGCAAATTTGTTTAATTTAGTATATGCACTTCTCGGTGAATTGAACAGGCAGTTTGAGCGCGTTGTTCCGTTGTTACTCGCCCTGTCAGCATGCATGCATGTCATTCCCTGGTCAACATGCATGCATGCAGTTTCGAATATTTAAATGGTACGAGACGTTCTCCTGATCAACTATCTTCTTCTGGTTGCTTCAGTCATGTTTGGAATTTGGATGGATAAATGAATGATTGCATGCAGACGTGGACATGTTAATCTGTTGTTTCCTTCTTGAACAGTGGGACCGAAAGAGCACGAGGAAAAGCAGGGTAGCTGAGACTTTTGACTCAGTGGGGTTTGTTGCGCCTATTTCCACTCACACGGTGGTACACAGCCTCTGCAAAGTTGCAAAATTAATAGAGGCAAACATATATACACAACTAGCAAGTTGTGAGTGTAGCTTAACTAACTTTGCTAGCAAGTTGTGAGTACAGCTTAACTAACTCTGCTAATAAGGGCATTCCTAACCGACCCCATAAAAGTTAAGGGAGTATCTGGCGGAGTAAAGTTAGTGGAGATAATTTTTACTCTACTAATGGTGATCGCACCTAGTCGATCCCCAACCCCGAAGAACCAAGTCCTTGAACGGTCAGGCCAGTTCAATGTCTCTGGTTCAACCCCTTTAGCAATCAGGTCACTCTCAGCCTTGTCCCACAACGGCCGGGCTTGGAGGTAGCCACCTGACCCCG